ATGACCGAGCGTTTTTTCGAACACGCCCCCATTTATTTATTATGGAATTTATTCCATTTGGCTGATACACACTGTATTGTATTTCAAGTTAAAATTTGGTTAATGATACTTAATTAATAATCCTCAAATATTTTTATTGTAGTAACTGTTAAAAAATTATATTTCAAAAGTGAACAACATATCCTACAAGCTTAATTAAAAGATAAATTAGTAAGTATTAGCAAAAACAAATAATTTGGAATAAATTTAGCTACATTTTCTCCATACCTTTAACTTCAGCTCAGTGTCTTCATCCTCTATCTTTCCGAGCAAATAAGAAAACGCATTGAGCGCAGAATACCAAGGATAATATTCAGTTTCATCGACGAGGGAATCCGCCATTTCAAAAGCCAGATAATAGCTCACATCACCTGTCCTTGCGATGTTAAAGATATCGTCTATCATTTGGGACCTTTGCAATACGTGAAAATCAGTCCTGTTGGTGCTCAAACCATCAAGTATTCTTCGCCATAAGGTTTCATCGTAGTTAACTCTGTAAAAACAGCCACCTTGACTGTTGAGTACCAACCACTGGTCGTGTCCAAAATTGAACAACATTTCTTGATCTGGGTTCATGAATGTACCGACTTTTATGCTGGATTTGTAGTTTGCACGAGAAGTCGCGGTAAGTGGCACATACCATCCTGTTTCTTCAGCGAAGGTTTCTGTGTCTGTTGTAGGATATAAAAATCGTTTCTGAAAATTAATATTCCCGAATTAATGAAATACCCACATCAGGACCAACTATGTTAACTCTGATGCATTATATACATACTTCATGCAAACTTTCATCAAATTTACTAGAGCCTAAAATCGGCCTTTTTTAAGATAATTTAGCTTTTGGTTTTGCTACTGGTATTATCTGATGTAAACATCTTTCAAGCATAAAAAACCCATATCAAAGTAATAAAATTGAAGATAGGAATGTTGATGATGTTCATGTACAAGTTTCCGTCCACCAAAAATTTTCTAGGACAAATATCCTTAATAGTAAATCAATCTCACATATGGTTATATTTAAGTATAACTTAACTAAACTTATTAAACCTTATAAATGAAATGAACGTGATGAACGTTTCCTTAATCACGTCTTGACTTAAGGAAAAGAGCCAATTGAAGCAGATTTAGAATAGCATCATGGAAGGCCAAAGGAAAACTTGGAACTAGTAACTCTAAAGCCTAAATGTATGTTGATGTTACATCTATTTACTGGTCTCATGGATATAGCAACATAGGATCCTTGAACCAGATCAATGGAATATATTCAGATGATGAAAGAGGAAGAAAATAGTACATTGATGTGACTGTGAAGAAAAAACAGATGGCAGTCTCGTCTTCAATCTGCCCAGAAACAAGATTAGTATATCGAGTTCGTGTCATCTACGCTTCAGGATACTTAAACGTGGAACTACAGTGCCTACGATCTACTTTTAGAGGAAATTCATCCTAAGGAAACATAATGTTAACCATTTGTAACACCTCAAGGAAGATAGGAATAGCCTTTCACAAGACAAGCTGCAGGAATGATCCACTCCCCAAAGGCCTGGCGCATGCAGCATATACATGCTGAAAAATATACATTGGAAAAAGTAGAAGGCGCGTTAGTAACAGATTAAGGGAGCGTAAGGGTCACTTGAAGAATAACACATGGCAGAAACAAGATAGATACCAGAATTCTGGTGAGAGAAAGAAGATTTTGGTCAAGACGCTTCAGGAAGGCAACAGTCCAGAAGATTCGACATAATTTCAGCCGAGACGAAACTAGAATTTGGAAACGACTTATCCGCGAACAAGTATCAGCTAATGACTGCGCAAGGCATGCACCTAAACGAAATGGACCAGTACTCACAGTAACAATATATAGCAACTAGAGGACTCCAGTTTCAGAATTTCCTCTTCTGAAGACAGCGATATGTCTCTGGAGGTGTCGAGTATTCTAAACCGACGAAGTAGATCCAAAGAAGTTGTTTAAGGAAATAACTAGCAGAATTCAAATAACCAATAAAAATATAACATTACATTTGAAAGAAGATCTTCGGCTATCTTCAAATTATATTCAATGAATAGTTGTGTCGACATCTGGAAAAAATGTAATAGTAATGAAAATGTCCTATTCTCACCTGTGACAGTTTTACAGTATCAGTATCATTGACGTCTGTCAGTGAAACAGTTACTAAAGGATATCCTGCGGAAAATGCCCATTTCTCAAGATAGGTATAGTAATCGGTATCACTAGTACTTCTTGTTTCACTACTTTTTGTTTCTAGTAAGTCCTTTAAAATGTCAGCACCGTCAGTGTCTGCGTCTTTCCTAAAACATAATAGCCCAGTCGGGTTGTCATTTAACCGGGAAAAAATTAGGGACCACAATTTTATTATTCTAACCTTTAGGGGGGGTCAATAGTAGTGTAAATTCAGAATCGCGACTGAATTCCACCCCTGCGTCAGCCGCCATCTTGAATTTAAGAAAAAATCGTTTTTGCTCAATATCTCGGCCATTTTCAACTTTACAACAAAAATGGTAAGGACTTAAGTTGTTGCAAATGCGATTTCCTACAACTTCTTTTATTACAAATTTTATCGTGCGATCGATATTTTTCAAGTTAAGGGGGAAAATAGTGACAAAGTAT